TAACATATTTTTCTTAAATATATACATGCATGTGTGTGTATTTATATGTACATAATAAATATAGACAGTACACACACATATATTATGTAAACAAAAACTTTTATTTTGGATGCGATTAATCGCGATTAATCGTTTGACAGCACTACATATTATATTATTATAGATCAAAAGTTTGGGTTCAGTACGATTTTAATGTAGTTTTGCTACATTTTTTGTTCATTAAATACAATTAAAACAATATCAAATTTTAAAATCTTTCTATTTTAATATATTTGAAAATGTAGTGATGCAAAGCTGAATTTTCACCAGCCGGTCTTCATTGTCACATGATCCCTCAGAAATGATTCTAATATGATGATTTGATCGAAAAAATTTCTGATTTCTTTTTATTTCCAATGTTGAAAACAGTTGTATTGATTAATGTTTTTATTATTATTTTTTTTTTTTGGAAACCATGATACTTTTTTCAGGATTCTCTGATGAATAGAAAGTTCACAAGAACAGCATTCATTTGAAATACAAATCTTTTGTGACATTATAAATGTTTTTACTTTTACTTTTGATCAATTTAATTCGTCCTTGCTGATTAAAAGTTGCATTTCTTCAACATTTGAGAAGAAGTGTTTGCAATAAATAAATAAGTACATAAAAAAAAGTGAAAAAATGTGATAACACGACATGCATTTGCACAAAGATTGTATGCACAAATCTAAGTGTACACTCTCTCTCACACATGAGATCCACTGTCAGACAGGGCTGGTTTTCCCTGAAGAGGTCAAGTACATTTGTGTTTCACAGCACTTTGTTAATGTTAATCTTTTCTAAAATCAAACATGGCATTTTTTTCCCTTCTCAAAACCTCTGTATAAATTACAGAGTACTATGTTTGGACTAACTCAGCCCTCTGAGAAAACGAATCCCCGTCTGGATTGGACTGCTTGTTGATACAGTATATCACACAAGTCTAATTTCAATGGCTCTCGTGATGCACGGATCCAGAGCACATGAGCTAACCCTTCCTTATTTCTTTCATATATTTAAAAGTAAAGTCAAAACAGACATCTGTCTCCTTCCATCTAGCTTATCGAGCACAAACCGCAGCCCAGCTGGGTGACTGGACCGTTGTTATATCTCCCACCATGCCCGTGCCTCTCTCAGTATCTATCAAGCGCTGTCTTGCTTTCACTCTTGCT